TTTGAATGCATGTGATATTGTTTTGTAATTTCTACATTTTGTTGGTTCACTTTTCTTGAGAATGGGAACAAAAATATATTTCTTCTAGGCAGCTGGCCAAGAAGCTGTCCTCCAAATTTCCTGGCATAAACTGGGGAGCATGTCCAGAGCTGTGCTTGCTAGTTGAAACATGCTTACTGGTAGTCCACTGATTCCTGGGACCTTATCTTTGTCAATGCTTTCAGCACAGCCTGAGTTTTAAGTATCACTGGCTCTTATTCATGTAGCACTTCTTGAAATTCTGTGTCAATCAATTTCTTTTTTTTTAATACAGTGACTTTTTTTTCAATCTTCTTTGAATGCTTCCTGGATTGTCCAAGATTTTGCCTACAGCATTTCTCATTATTCCAAGTCAAGGCTAGATTTTGTTTTACAGCTCTTTCAACTTGAGAAACATCAAGCAAGCTCTTCCCTTTTTATTCTCCAATTTCAGCTCTCTTCACATTCCTCTATAATACTTTGTCTTCTCAAGCTGCCCTTAGAAATCTATTCAGCTCTTTTAGCTCAGTATCTCTTCCCTTTGTCTTCTTGACATTCTAGGGATATTTTCAGAGTGTCTACCGACATCCATTTTGGTTTTTTCTTTCTCCTTTGTCTTTACTAATCTTCATGGATGATATTCTTCCTACCATCCCATAATTCACTTGGTCTTCAATCACTGGTATTCAACATCTCAAATCTAAAGAAGATTTTTAAATTCAAGTGGAATAGACTCAAGGTTGAATTTTGGTTCTGTGGACTTCTTGCACATAAGTAATTAATGGTTTATTCCACAGTGAGCACACAGCCTGATTGTGACTGCTGATATCATTAAATTTTTCCAAGGATTTTTCCATTGATAGTCAGTATGTTCCTGTGCAGTCCATCAGGTGAGGTTCATGTGTAAAGGTGCTGTTTCTGTTTGTTTTTGTTTTGTTTTTTAAAAAGCACTTGTGGATAAATGATTCCATATAGAAAATTCAAGCATTCAATTTTGAGCTTCATTTCTGTCATTGAGTCTGTACTTCCCAACTACTATTCCTTCTTCATTGTTTCCAAATTTTGAATTCTAGTCATTAATAATTATTAATCCATCTTGATTGCATATTTGCAGACATTCTCAATTTCCTCTTCTTTGGCTTTAGTGGTTGGTGTGTCTATCTGAGTAACAGTCATATTAACAAGTCTTCCTTTTACTGTATGGATAGTATCCTATCACTAACAATACAGTACACCAGGATAGAACTTCAAACTGTCTTTTGAACTATTAATGAATTACCATTCTTAGTTTTACATTCCTGGCATAGTAAAGCTGTGAGCCTTAGATGGCTCGAGCACCCACCCGAGGCCCCATCCTGCCACATTATATGGGCCCTAAACCATAACATTCATATGTCTTATTTGCTGCAAAAAGGTATAATACCAAGCTGTCAATTTGTTGTATTAAGGAATTGATTTGCATGTTGCAAATGACTTTATAGGGCGCTCTGGTGGCCTAGTGGTAAGAAGCTGCACTTGCAATTCCTAAGGCACACAGTTCAAATCCAACAGCTGCTCTGCAGAAGGATTTGCAATCTCCTCCTGTGAGATTAACTGCCTCTGAAACCCACTGGAGGGTCAGCTAAGGGTAGGTTCCAACTTGACGGTACACAACAATAACAATTACTTTACAGCTTAGTTGTATATATACACTTGTTTGTTAATTATTTGCTTTTATGAGTACAGCACCTATCTGTCTGTGTGTTATACTGGGGTAACTTGTCAGATACTATGATGCTAAAAGTTGTGCCACTGGTGTATAAATGCCAGAAGGATCATCTATGGTAGATAGGTTTCAGCAAAGTTTGGCCATTCACTTCTAAAATAATATGCCTCCAAAAGCACTGTGAATAACAGAGGAACATAGGCAGCTATAGCTTTAGAGGCAGAGCCTAGATGGAAGTCAGTTAAAATGAAGAGAAACAGCGGCAAAGACCATTTAATAATTAGAGCATGAAATGTACGATGGGAAAACCAGAAGTTGTCAAAAATTAAATGAAAAGCATAAAGCTCAACATTCTAGGCATCAGTGAGATGAAATGGACAGGCACTGATCACCGTGAATCAGACAATCACATGATCTTCTATGTTAGGAATGAAAAACTAAGGAGAATAAAAGGATTCTAAAACCCAATCTCAAAATAGGAGGAAGAGAGCTAACATAGACACTCCTGATACTCAAGTGCAGAGCAGACAGAAAATCTTCCTCTCAGCTTTTGTTTCTTTACATTTAAAACAGTAAGTCCTAAGGTGGAGGTTAAATGAGATGAGGTATGAAAGACTATAATACGGTATCACAGTATTTAAAAAAACAACAACACTCTACATAAGCCTGCAATTATCTCTTATTAACTAATCATAGAGTAGTATTAAAAACAAGCTACTAAAAAAAGACATTCAGATGACCAAAAGAAACAAAGAGATGCTCCAAATCACTGGCAATAAGAGAGCTACACATCAAAACTACAGTAAGATACCACCTCATAGTAGCAGCAGTGGCAAAATTTAACAGGACAGCTAGCAATAAATGTTGGAGAGGGTACAGAAAAATAAGGAACTCTCATATCTGGTTGGTGCAATTGTTAAATGGTATAAACACTCTAGAAGGCAGCTTGGTGTGTCCTCAAAAAGCTGAACAGAGAGCTTCTATATGACCCAGCTATTCCACTGCTAGGAATACACCCCAAGGAAAACAGAATTGAGAAACAGAGATTTGTGCACCAATGTTCTTAGCAGCATTATTCATAAAAGCAAAAACATGAAAACAGCCCCAAATGTCCATCAGCAAATGAGTGGACTGAGAAACTGTGGTACATTCACACAATGGAATATGATGCAGCATTCAGGAGCAATGATTTTGAAAAACACTATAAAATATGGGAGAGGATAGAGAGCATTATGCTGAGGGAACTAACTCAGGTGCTTAAGAATAAATACTGCATAATACCATTATTGTAAAAACAGAAGGATAATCAGTGAGATGTGTATGGATATACAAAAAGGGAAGGGAAGAGGACAGGGGGCTAAGGGTGGGGAGGGGGATAAATCAGAAGAATTTGGTCGGTAGAGGAAGGGAGCGGGGGAAAAAACCCCACAACCATGTATATGAGTAAAACACAAACTAACTCAGTCCCACAGGGATAAATATTGTATAAAACCATCATTATATAATAAATATAAGGATCCAAGAGCGGTAGGACAGAGTGGAAGCAAAGAGATGAGGATGACAGGGCTGGACAATTTGATGGGGGGAGGGGCAAGGGAAATTGAGAAAATCTATTCTTGAAAACAATGTATTCGAACTTTGTAAACAAGTTAGTAGAAAAGTTTTTTAAAATTCCTTAAAACTGTCAAATAAAAGAGAACAAAAACCTAAATTTATTTCTTATACCCAAGAAAACATATGTAAAAGAAATTGAAAGTCAAATAAAATTTATCACCATTCAAAGAGATATATACAGTTGTTAGGTACTACCAAGTTAACTACAACTCAGTTACCCTATGGACAACTAACAAAAACCCTGCACTAGCCTTGCCATCCCCACCATTTCGGTCATGCAGTAACTCATTGTTACAGCCACTGTGTCAATCCAACTCACAGATTCTCTACTTTCCCATGTATGGTATTTTTATTCAAAGATTGTCCCCTCCTGACAGCATCCCTAAAATGTGTATGATGAAATTTCACCACCCATGCCTCTAAGGAGAACCCTAAAAAGTTTATGCTTCTACTTTTTATAAAAACATCTGCCTATGTCATCCCAAACCCCTAAGTAAGATCAGCAGGATGAAAATAGATTAAAAAAGACTGCAAAATCTTTTCAAAAAAAGGTATAACTGTTAGTCTCTCCTAATCTCTCCTAAACAAGGGAGCTCTAGTGGCCTAGTGGCATGAAGGTGCACTGGTTTGAGGACACCAGCTGCACCACAGGAGAACGATACCTCCTCCTGTGTCTGAAAATCCACCAGAGGGTTAGCTATAAGTGGGTTCCAACTTGACAATACACAACAATAACAATAATCTGAAACAAAGAGTAAAGAAACCTACAGACTATTAAGAGGCAATGTAAACTTCTGCTTCCATGATCCTGAGATCAGAACAAGTAGATAGTGCCTGGTGACCATTGAAATTGATCACAACAGTGTCCTCAAAGAGAGTGGGAGAAAAATATGGAACAAAATTCAAAATCATAAAAAAAGACCAGGTTTACTAGTCTGAGAGACACAGCAGAACCCCGGAGATTTACACGACTGACAGGCCTATAAAGGTGAGGAGTAGCCTTCCCTTTATAAGAAAGAACACAGAGTTTAAAACTATCAATTAAAATAAACAGACAAACGAACAAAAACACCCAACCAATCATATAAGAACTAAAGGGCAGAATTTCCTAAAGGATAAAGCTCAGAAGGCAGGAAGGGATAGAAACAGAAGGGGAAATAGGGGACACAGAGATGAAGAGGGAAAGGTACCATAAAAATGTGAGGAACTTGCACTGCAATCCCAGAGGTACACAGTTTGAATCCACCAGATGCTCTGCCGGAGAAGGAGGAGCAATATCCTCCTGTATCAGTCAGATCTGATTTGACAGCACACGCACACAAAATAATTTTAAAAAAATGTGAGGAACTATTATCTGTATCATAAAATGAAATGTGTAAATTGTTCAATGGAAAAACAATATTCTGTGAAGTTACCCTCAAATCACAATAAAAAGGTTTTTTTTTTAAAAAAAAAAACCCAAACAACTCTTTTTCATAAATTGAAGTATCATGGCAATACTTCCAATTACAGAAATCTTCACTTTGAAATTAAGAGAAAACTTTCTGATATCACTGTACTGATTTCTATTTATGAGAGATAATCTTTTTTCACCTCAGGTAAAATTTATGCTTTCATTTGGTCACCAGTAAGCATACTATAAAAGTTTTAAGCATTATCAAACCTGCTGGAACTACGAGATCTTCTTGACGCATTGTAACTTCTGGGTGGTGTTCTGGACTTTTTATCCTTCCTTCTTTTTTCATCTATCTCTTTGGCTCTGTCCTTTTCTCGGTCCTTTTCTTTGTCCTGTTCCTTTTCCTTCTCTTTGTCTCGCTCCTTTTCATGCTCTTTATCCCGATCTCTCTCTCTGTCCTTTTCTTTTTCTCGTTCTTTATCACGTTCTTTCTCTTTGTTTTTACCCCGTTCCTTTTCTTTTTCACGGTCTTTTTCCCTCTCCCTCTCTTTTTCCCTCTCCTTGTCTCTATCTTTCTCTTTTACTCTTTCCTTCTCCTTGTTCTTTTCTCGAGTGTCTTTTCTCTTGTCCCTTAAAAAACAAACAAAAATAAATAAATTCACAACTAAAATAATTCTACCTCCCACACCAGAAAAGAAGTTTTCCTCAAGAATTACCAATACAAAATAAATTTTTTATGACTACAGACTTCATTTTTCAATTTCTGTGTTGATGCATGATTACAATATACTGTTAAATGAAACAACAAGCTGACTTGAATGGTTTAGAAGCCTCATGAGTATTATTAATCATCAGATTCAAATCAACATCAATCAATATTAATCCAAGATTACTAAAGCAATCAGAAGTAGTTTTCTTTTTCTCACTAGAAACCTAAACAACAGATTTATAACAAATGAAGCAATTAAAAGTATCTTTCTACTAAAATTACCTTGAACGTGAACGACTCCTTGACTTCCGCCTCTCTCTTGATTTAGAGCGTTTTTTACGTGGGCTCTTAGATCTACGTCTATCTTTCTGTCTTGAACGTGATCTATTATGGGATCGACTCCTAATGAGAAAAAAATTGTTAAGGTATCAAAATGTATTCACTAAACTTCCATTTTAAACTATTTAAAAATTCTTTGAAATGAATGAACCAACAATTACTTACCAATACTTTTTAATTCCCTAATACTTATCCTACTTCACATGGATTACAGTAAATATATTTATTACTGAAAATTGTTAGATACTTCATTGTCCAGTATACAAACACAGAAATAAATAACTTGTTCCCTTTTTTAGCCTTAAAATTCCAGGTAATTTTTTTTGCTATTGTGCGCCTCAAATTAGTATAAGTCTGTCCTACAGTTTAGCTAGCAGATCATAAACTGTGTCAAAGTCAAATGAAAGAACTTAACTTATATGGATTATGTCTGCTTCTGATTATAATTCATCTTGACAGAGTAGGGATGATAAGTTCAATAGTTTCTATAAATGGCTGTGTGCCATTTGTTATAACAAATACATTTAGAAGACTGTATAAATAAGCAGGGAAGTTCTTAGGACACCACTAGTGTGACAGGAAGATAAAAATCACTATTTGTGTGATAAAGTGAGATACAATTGTTTGGTTTGTAATTTTATAAACACAAGCTATTAAAAGATTTTTATTACTGGAATTCTTACCAAAAAGATAGCTGCTGTAACAGTTTTTAAGTCTTCAGTCCCCTTCTTTCCCATTTTAATAACTGTTTTGCAATGTGATTTTTTCCCCCATAATGAAGTTTACTGTTACTGTGCTTATTATGTGCCCTTGAGTCAGAACCAACTCATAGCTGATCTTCCAGCAGGTTTTCAGAGGCAGTAAATCACATAGGAAGTGGCTGCCGATCTTTCTCCCACAGAGTAGCCAGTGAACTTGAACCATATGCCTTTGAGCTGGCAGCACAGTCCCTAACTACTAGGCCACCAGAGATCCTTAATGAAGTTTCTTAGAAACACTTAAGTTGCCACATAACAAAATAATCTGTGCACAACTTAAATAACAAAGTAATTAGATGCACTAGCTTTGGCATAAGATAGCATGGCTGTGATGCTCAGCTCTTGACATACAGTGTAGCTAGGAGAACTTGGGCTAGTTACTCTAAGTCTGAACTACTCCATCTATAAAGTGATATACAAACCATATCTACATCTCCTACGTCTGATGATGTATATTGTCTAGCAGCCTTTGGCACAGAGTAAATGCTGAAAATGATAAACTTTTTTTTTATAAACTTTTAAATATTTTACTCTATCCAGGTCAAATTTCCAAGTTTGCTTTATATAAATGAAACCCATCATGTCAGTTATATTTTTGTGAATTATGTTAAAATTCAAACATCTATAAAAGAAATACATATTATTAAATGACGCTTGTGGTGCCTACCTACTACTAATTTTCAGGAAGCTAGAAAAAAATTTCTATAAACAATGATGAATTAATTAATAAAATGTTGTTTATAAGCTAAATGGTCAGTAAGCCAAAATTCGTTTTCCAACAACTAATTTTCAAACAAACTATTCTTCTGTCACTTGGCTTTAAGTATTTGTCTTTATACCACATTTGCGGTTAGCAGCATAGCACACTATAACTCCATCACACTTTTAATGCAAAAGATAATTTTTATTTCACTGAAGTCCCAGTAGTGTGCTGCACTGTGAATCAAAAAGCCAGGAGGCTCGAGCAGGCCACATCCACAATGGCTCCACAGAAGAAAGATGGGCATTTCCTCTTATAAAGGTTTACAGCTTGTATAGCAACAAAGGGTCATTATGAGGGTGAACCAACTCAATAGCAGAGTTTGAACTTTGAGTAACCTCGGCTGGTCTGACAACAGGTCTGACACAACAGAAAGGAAGTGTAAAAGTAAAACCCTTAAACTTGGAACACTGTCAGTCTATACAAATAGAAACATAAGGAGTTTTTTTTCAAAATGCCTTTGCCTCTAGAAAATGTTTGAGGGTTTTTTTTTTTATTCTTCACATTAGTGATTTCCCATCTTCAACACAGAAGCTCACTTTGAAAATATAATCATAACTTTAAATTAATTTTATCCCCGAGGTATACAGTTTGAATCTACCAGATGCTCTGCTAGAGAAGGAGGGGCAATCTTCTCCTGTACCAGTCAGATTCGATTTGATGGTACACACACACACACACACACACACACGCACGCACAAACACAATTTGTTAACTTTGAAAAAGTAGATTCATTCCAATCATCTAGCCTTCCATTTTATCCTGTTTAATTTGACATTAAACATTTCACATCTCTCTCACTTCAAGTTTTTTTTAATAAGAATGCTAAAAGCTTCAAGTCAAGAGAAAGTCTAATCAAAGATAAAGCTGACATGAGATATTCATTTGTATTTTTTGTGCATAATTTTCAAAATTACTTTTTAAAATTAACTAAATAAAGGGTAACTTACCAATATGATGACTCAAACTTCATTTGTAATCAGTTGTTTCTCATTAAAATACTTAAAAGGTCTTAAGTTCTTATGTTGGTCTGTAAAAGCTACTTAAGATGTAACAATTACAGTACTACTCATCTTTTCTGATAGTGTTTCTATGGAAAAAAATGCATACCAAAATTTACCTGGACAAAGTAGAAATACAACCTCCTCTAGGCGTGGTAATAAAAAAGTCTTTCCTCTTACCATAAGAAAATTATTGTTGTGGCTGACCCTCTAGCAGGTTTTCAGAGGCAGTTAGTTAATTGCACAGGAGGAGACTGGCCATCCTTCTCCCACGGAAAAACTACTTTCCTCTTACCAGAAAGGAAGGAATAAAAAGGAAGCAAAAGAAGAAGGAGAGCTCTAAAAAATATCTGAGAAGACAGGCGGGAAAGTTCTTACCAACTCAGACTTCTACTAAGTCTAGGGGATCAGAGCTATCAACTCCTCAACAGGAGAGAAGTCAAGAAAGGCTTATCAGTCCCCTTTTCCCATTTCTGGGTACTCCTCTGAGTTGGTTCCAAATAAAAATCCCTAAATCAATGATTTCTAGGTAAGAAATTTGTATTTTCCTTTAAACAAAATATTCTCTTTTAATTTTTTCACAAATACATTCCCATTATCCCATGGCTGACCTAAGAAACAGTAAAACTCAAAAACCTATGCAAGACACAATTTAGCAGAGAAAGAAAACTCAGAATGTTTTTCACAAAAACAGAGAAGTGCTTAAGACTGTACCGTGTAAAAGGCAGAAAACATGCATGATCCAAAAATCCAAAGAGATTCATTCAAGTTACTATTCTTACTGTGCAACTTTTCCATTTTGACAAATAAGCCAATAGCAAGTAATATCTAAGCCTATGCAGTTAAAAAGATCTAAATAAAAGTACTTCTATGACTAAAAATAATGCGTTTTAATTCTGACTAAAACCCTCTCACCCTTGGAAAAGAAAATTTAAAAAATCAAATATACTAAATATTATGAGAACAAAAACCTTAATGATAGCTCAATTATTTACTGTAACTTTAAAAAAAAACACCAAAAACCCAATCAAACCAAAACCAAATAAGGCTTTACATACATTAACAAGGAAACAGTAATGTTAATCAAGTTTCTGGCTTTTCTCCCTCAGCTTCAGAAAAAATACTAAAATATGTTAGCTTTTGGTGAGCACTGGTGGCCTAGTGGCAAGAAGCTGCACTGCAACCCCAGAGGCGCATGGTTCAAATCTACCAGATGCTCTGCTGGAGAAGGAGGGAGAATCTCCTCCTGTACCAGTCGGATCTGATTTGACCCTGCGCACGCGCGCGCGCGCGCACACACACACACACACACACACACCCCCAAAAAAAAATTAGCTTTTAATTATGGCCTTTGTACTCAACACAAAACGAGATTCAAGTAATTATTTCTTATTATAAAAAAATACAGACTGTATTTTCCTTGACCTCCTTTACCCTCACCGTGTTCTGTCAAGACACAGACACAGTTATAGTCTAATTTGCTTCTGTATCATCTTTTTTTTCTTGCACTCTAAAACAACTTCCCTCATTTGGTACTGAAGATGCTTTACTATATAACTAGGAGAAAGGTAGTAAAACCACATTCAAAAGCTATTTTGAAAAGTAAGAGTAGTATAAAAGTATACCCAGGTAAACAAATAACTGTATAGTAATAAAATACCGTTATTTCCTCATCTCATTCCTTGAATCTTCTTGATCATCACAGAAACATACACTAAACTGAACTTGCTGGTAAGGCACAAGACACTGTATAATCAATCAATGGTTCCTTGCCTCACTCTCCTCAAGCTCTCTCCCTCTTCTAAAACTCCCACAACAAACTTGTATGTACACATTCCTTTCCCTCTCGACATTAGTACGAAGGGACATGTACAAATAATCAACAATGGCTTCAACAATGGTCTTGAACACAGCAGTGGTTATGAGGATGGCAAAGGGCCAGGCAATGTTCTGTTCTGTCGCATTCAAGGTGAACAAGAGTTGGAACTGACTTAACAGTACCTAACACCATCACTACACACTTAGTCAGAAACCAGGAAGTAACATTTGGCTGCTAACCTCAAAGTAGGTAGTTCAAATCCACCAGCTGTCCTATAGGAGCAAGATGAGATGGTCTACTTAAGTAAAAAAACCCTATTGGGTTGTTCTCCTCTGTTAGAATATTTGCTATGAGTTGGCAAGTGGGTATACCATCTTCAGAAGCTTAGTGGCAAAGCTACAAATCAAAGGACTTGAGGCTTAAAAACACCAGTTACTCTATGGAAGAAAAATGGGGCCACCTGCTTCCCTTAAGATCTACAGCCTTGGAGGAAGCCTGGAGGAAGGTTCTACTCTGTTCTAGCTGGCTGTTATAAATCAAATTAGACAATGGATTTTTTACACATTTTTCTATTTCAGCAAAACTCCCTACACACTTTAAAGACAACAAACACAATTTATCACTACAAATACAATTTATTTTAATATTTACATCAGGATAGTACCATAAATTTGTAATATAAAGACCCTTTGCATCAAATACAAACAAATGGTAGATTTTAAAAAAGAGACTATTAAAGGAGAGTTAGATACATTATAGGAGAATCAGAAACAGAGTGCAGCCATCTCAAGTGTAACTGTTTGTCTCTCTCTGGAATCAAGAAGAGAGAAGAAAAAAAGATATGTTGAAAAAGCTAGTCCAAAGGACTAATGGAAAACATGAATGTCAACTTCTACAACTGTGACCAGAAGAACTAGATAGTGCCTTGCTATCACCACTGACCATGCTGAAAGGATCACAGTACAGAAGCATGGATAGAGTGGGGGAAATGTGAAACACAATAGCAAAAGGGAAAAAAAGTTAGGTTTACTAGTCTGAGAGACTGGTGGAACCCCGAGACTACAGCCCTTAGATATCCACTGAACCCAGAATAAAATTCTCTTCATGGCTCAGCATTCAGTCAAACACTGATAAGCCTATAAAGTGACAAAAAAAGGAAGGCATTCTTTCCTACATAAGGTCAAAAGAACAGCATCTGCCCCAGGATAAAGTCCTGAGAGTAAGAAAGGAGAGAAAATAAATATTATGGAACTGAAAATTACAGAGAAGAAGAAAAGTGAAAATGCATCATAGGTAATGTGATTAATGTAATAAAACGAAATGTGGAATAATACACCAATGTGCTTTGTGAGTTTTCACTCAAAAACAAAAAACAAGAAGTACAAATGGAGGTAAACTTCCAAGTTACTACTGAGTTTCAGGTTTAAAATCAGCAGAGCAGGTTCTTATCTCTCGAATTTATGAAGGGCTTAAAAGCGCTTTAGCTGACATACGGTCCTGGGAACAAGTAAATGCTTAAAATCAAGATGTGGGGTGAGACCTCCAGCTTTTGAGTTAATTCTGATGGAAAGAAAGAAAAAGTTGCAGTTTTAGCACCACCACTAAATACCTTCCTTTTCACAACAGGAAAAATGAAAACTGTTTCTGATGCCTGTGAAAAAGATGCGTTTACTCTTCGAAAAATCAAGAATGGCGCACACCTTTAAATAGAACACTGACTTCTAAAATGGAAAATTAAATACTTTCATAAAATTTCACACTTAATTCCTTTTTATTAATTAATAATTAATTTAACGTAATTATTTACTACTAATCACAGTTACGAGTAAACTTCTAACATTTTCATTTTTTTAAATTTTTTAACATTTTCATTTTTATAACAAAAACTCAGAAAGAAAATCTCAAATACTTTTAAGTACAAAATTGAAAAACAAACCAAACCAAAAAAACCCCAACCAAGAACCCACTATATACAAGAAATTCTCACCTGTGTTTTGACTGTGATCTCTTCCTTCTAGAGTGAGATTTTGAACTAGACCTGGATTTTGAACGAGTGTGGGAACGAGATCGACCGCCTTTTCTTTCATTGCTCTTTCCAGACTCTGGGAGGAAAAAACCACTTTGCAGTGTAAGCTCAGAACAATTAAAGATCCCAGTTAATAATCAGGCACAAGTGGAATGTACCACATATAGTGCAAGGGGCCTACTCTCTGTACATCCTCCTCCTGTGCAATTATCCTTCAGAAACATCCAAGAAAGTCATTGCATAAACTCGTTGAGTGCAGCCACCCTGCAGCAGTACATATAAACCACATGATTATAAACAGCTGTTCGTAATATTTTGTTGCTGCCATAATGTACGATTATAACATGTCTGCAATTCCTATGACAGTGATTTCAAGTTCTTTATTCACTTACTTCGCAAAAATTGAAGCTTACATTCTAAATGTTAATGTAAAAATTTGCTCAAATGTACACTACGTAAACATTTATAGACTGAATTTTAAAAATTATTTTGGTTAACAATACAAAATTTTTAATAGATATTCCCTTATCTTGTTCAAACAGGCTAACCAGTTATTTGTTTTGTTTCTCCCTATAAATCATGGGCTATTTTGTTCATTTTAAAGATTAAAGCTATGAAGGAAAGTGGAATCTGCTTAACCATAATATCTTAACTATATTTGTCTCTTAAACATCACAGTAACATTTATTTTTGCTTTAAGTAATTTCATTTTGAGAACTGGTTTTGCTACTTAAAATATAAAGAACTGATTAAATTCAAGCTAAGTGTCTCAATCCAGTAACATGGAAAAGACATTTTATGTGCTTGGTTCTTTGACATGAATAAGTCACTTACTCTTTCTTGTCAGTCATCTTCTTTGTAAAATTAGGGGACTGAATAAAATGCCAGTTCTAGCTTCTAGAAAATTCCAGTTCTAGCTTCTCTGACCTTTAACCTATGACCTATGTAACAACAATTCTGTGGCCTTACCTGGTTCAATAGCTGCTGAGATAAATGATTGAGCCTCTCGTACTCGCTTCATAACTTCTTCTAATTCCTTAGCTGCAGCCTGAGGTGTCATCTCAGGGGGTTTTACTATTGCATTGTTGGAGTGATTTATTCTAAATTAAAAATATTAGCATATCACAAATACACACCATATTTTACCAAATATGATATAATATGCTTATTTCTAAATTTGAGGTTATCTTGGAAGGATACTGAACACAGAATAGCCAAAACTGACTCTAAAACCATGCTTAAATGCCCATCCCATCTCTAATTATCTCTTAATAACAAAGCAAAAGAGAAAAAAGAAAAAATGAAACTTAGTTGCCTTTAACAAGTGCTTTTCCATATAACCATATAAATTAAAATCTTGACATCAACAACTTCTATTTTAGATTACAAGATTTCAAAGACAGTATGTGCACTATGAGAGGATGAAGAGAAACCTGTATATTATGTGCACCATTTTAATCAAACCTGGATCACGGTAGCGTCAGATACAGCTTAGAATGAGGAAAACAACCAATAAAACTTTCTCACAACAGCTTCTCTGACACACATAAAGAAATCTGGTGTCTTATTTCATCCTTTTCAAACTGAGGCATCCACTAAGAATAGATATTTATCCTTTAATATCAGAATCCATTTCAAACTATATAACCAAGGCAATGTGAAACTCAAGAGAAAATCATGTCTGCTTAAATAATCCAAGTAGAATTTCTAAATATCTGGAAGCCTGAATAAACGTTTTCATTTTGCAAATAATGTGATTAAACGCTAAAATGCAAAATGTCTGATTTAAAACATTAATATTAGTATTTAGCATTATTTTCTTTCTGGGGCTCTGAATTTACCAAAGTACTTACAATATTTCAATCCAAATGTTAAATGTTCGTTAGCCTAAAGTCACAATGCAAAATCAAGCTGACTTATTAATTTAAGACTAACTTAGACCTTATAAATGTAGATAAATATAAATAAATGTCTTCCAATTCAACTTTTGAAATTTAAAAGCTAAAACGGTAAGCATCTCATGCACTTCTCATTTATACTTAACACAAAGCCTTTCCTTTGCACAAATTGCCAATTACTACTTAAAAGGGGGAGGGGAGAGCCTTAATTACATCAAAAAGACTTAAATTTTTCAAAAGAATTAAAAATTCTTTGTTTAGGATTTCTTACTTCAGTGGCCTGTCTCCAAACATAACTCCATTAAAAGCAAGAGCCCTTGGTACAGAATTTTGGTCTGCAAATTCCACAAAAGCAAACCGAGTTGGCTGAGTCTCATCACCTGCCATCCGCACAAACTTCACTTCTCCAACTTGTTTAAAAAATTCAAGTAGCTGATCAGCTGTTGTTGTCTAAAGAAATAAAGTGGCACTTTAATAAATTCTATCTTTTTAAAAAATCAGGTAAATGTTACTTCTACAACCAATAACATATTTTTAAAAGGGGTAGAAATGAGCTTCTACCACGAAAGTTTCTTCTTAGTTACCTGAGAATTCAAATTTCCAACATAGACTGTCCTCCTAATTTCATCAATTTTGGAAGGATCCACATTTCCCATAAGTGGTGGTTGTGGTATCTCTCCAAGTGTTGCAATGTTAGGGTCTAGTGCTGCTGCTGGTATGGCTCCCAAACTGCTAAGTGAAACACCAAGCTTCAAAAAAAAAGGAAAAAGAAAACATACATATTTTATTAGTATAAAAGAATTAACATTGTCTAATCTTGATCAATTAATTCAATTAAGAATAAAAGAAATAATGGGTATTCTTAACTCTAAATTATGCATATTTCTAAATAATTAAGACAAAAGGACACATCCATATTGAATGTATACCTATTACTCATTTAACAGAAATCTTGTCTGACATTTCATGTTTGCAAAAACTCGGAAAAATCTCTCAAGCTATGTCTCCAATAGTCCAGGCCCTGTGGAAGGCCACGGTCAGGACTAGGTGCCCTCACATTGACTACCTCAAACAATAAACGTTGCTCTAAGGAAAAAACCAAGTCACACAAAGAACCTTTGCCAACTAGCCAGCTTCTCATGTTACCTGCAACATTTCAATCAATCTTAAAGAATGTGAGGCAGCCAAAGGACATAAAGTTATGGGTGGGCAGGTAATGGCACGAATGTGCTGGGGAACTACGGTCAGGGACCAGGGTGCAGGATCAAGGAAGATAAGAGGACTACTGGGATCCAAGCTTCAGATGGGCAAGGAAATACCCAACAACTAACCACTGTTGCTGTTATTGTTGTTAAGCGCCATCAAGTTGAGAACAACTCAATAAAAACAAAAAAGAAAAAGATCTAAACCCTGTTCTATTCTATGCCATCCTAGCATTATCATCCTCAATCTCTCCATGGATAAGAGAGAGGACACTGGCCAGGACATCAGAAACTAACCAAGCCAATTAAATGACGAGTGGGTGTAATTAAAAGATATCTTTCTTAACTGTCTTCACATTTTAAGTACTTTAAAACTTAACACTAAAAACATACCATAGTCATTTAATAGCGATTATATAAATGCATTCCTAGTAGTCAACACAGCATCTGAGATTTGCTGGGTTGTTAACTTAATCCTCCTATTAACACGTTGCCACACACTTTTAAATTGATGACCGTGCTTAGAAACACATTTTTTTCCCTTCTATGTATTACCATCATTTGCGGCAACATGTTAATTGTAAGAGACAGGTAGGTATTAGCACAATGTCAGTTTCATAGATAAGTAAAAAAATTTAGAGCACATAAATAATTTCCTCAGCTATTAAGTGGTAAAGGCAGGATACCATTATGGACAGAGAACAATTTAAATAGAGGTAATGTTATAATAAAAAAATTTGGACAAAAGCCCAAATTTACCTTATGGTAAGAAAACTGCAACAATTTTTTAAATGATCTTCTGATAATATTACTAAGTTCAGTTTTCAGTTTAAGCATTAAGAACATTATTCTCTTTAGGGAAATGTAACTGGATAGAATAAACAGAAGATCTCTGGACTTGAAAATTGGGAAAATAACAGAATTAAGAAAGTCTTTCAAGGAAAAGAAATGTACTGCCATATACAACACCTTTATTTCCATTCAAGGTATTCAAGAAAAATCTGAGTTTTTCTTGTATGTGCAAATATTATACAATTCAACCCCAATAACTATCACTCCGTTCTTTGAACACAGTTTTTCCCACCATAGTGTTTTGCACTTAGAAAGCTGTTATTCAGATTCTACCCAATTAATCCTTGAAGTATCAGGTAAATTATCATCTCCAAGAGGCTTTCATGGACCTTATATAAGCCCTAATTCATCCTCTGACATATAATTTACTCTCTACTCTATCACTTTTGGTCCTTCATAACATTTATAATTATTAACAGAAATTACAGTTGGTATATATGTTAATAAATATCTATTATAATTATTATTTACTATTACCATCTCAACATGTGCTAATGCCATGCAGTTGTTTTAGTTAAAAATGGGGAAGAGATCTCTATGAGTCAAAGCTAAAACTGAGCCTCACCTTTGTCCTCATGTTGTCTTCTATACCCTAAGGTACTCAGATGATTGCGGGTAGTTTAACTTTTTTTTAATTGTTCAAGGAAATTACAAAAAGTTAAGCTAAATCACAAATGTAATTCTTATTGTTCATTATATCTGCATAGATTTAAAACATTACAGTCTTTTCCAGATATTGCCGGCTGTCAACTTAGATCTACAATTTCTATACTAGCCCTTTTAAGAGTTTTCCAAACCATCTAGTCCAATCTGTTTTTCAAATGTTAAAGATTATCTAGATTTTTTTTAAGAAACTTTTCCTCATCTCTTCTTTTCCTTACAACATTTTTCTATACCTGTATTGTTTAGTGTATGGCAACCACTAGTCACATGTGAATTTAATGAAGTGACTTTTACAGTTCTGTTTCTCAGTCACACTAGCCATATTTCACATCCTCAATCATAAAAGCCATATGACTCTATTGGTTACCATACTGGATAGCAGAGATGCATACACTTTGATCATCGCCAAAGTTGTAAAACACAGGGCTGCTCTGTAACTGTTGTGACTTTTAAAGAGTAGTCTAAGTCAAAAACTGAACTCTTGTAATGTATGGAAAAGTGTTCTAAGCAGAAAGAACAAATGCAAAAGTCCAAGGCATAAATGTGCTTGGCATATCCAAGAAATAAGGCCAATATGGCTCAAATATTATGATGGTAGGAAACTGACAGTAAAAAAGGTCAGAGAGGTAAACAGGAAACAGATCACAAACTATCTACCCTTCTATTTTCTAAGTGAAATTATTCTTCAAAAATTAAGGATCAAAATAACAAGTATATACCGTTTAATCAAGAGGAAGCCATTTCCCTTCAAAGTAGTAAAAGAATAAAAATTTCAATTGTCAAGGAAATGCTAAGAGTTTTCAAGATATCAAAATATTTTCTAGGGCAAGAAGAAAAAAGGTAACTATCTGGTATTGAAGCTTTTATGTTAAAACATACCAAAATATACTTTTTGAAGTAGTGTGAATATAAGGAAAAGTAGTAAATTGTTTATATAAAAATAAAAAAATCTCAGTAGAATCTTTTTTCTTAACCACATTCTGAAATCACAAAGGAATCTCTTCATAGATAATTAAAAAAAGTTTTTTAGGGGAGCTCTGGTGGCCTAGTGGCAAGGAGCTGCAACTATAATCCCAGAGGCGCATGGTTCAAATCCACCAGACGCTCTGCCGGGGAAGGAGGGACAACCTCCTCCTGTACCAGTCAGATCCGATTTGACAGTACACTCACACAAAAATAAAAATAAAATGTTTTTTGCTTGCTTTCATCACCTTCTCCTATTTTCTCAATGTGGCAGTGGTATGTACTATTGAATGGGAACTGAGCCATAGCTGACCCTCCAGAGGGTTTTCAGACCCAATTAATTTCACGGTAGGAGACAGGCCATCCTTCTGTGGAACAGCTGGTGAATTTGAACAGTGTGTCTTTGAGGTTACAGCACAGTTTCTTACCATTAGGCCACCAGAGTATTCCATGAGAGGCAATGTTTCTCTGAAATTTCTCCAACCTTTACCAAAACTATAGATCATTCATTTCTTGTCTTTTGGACATGCTCACAACCTGAAAAATCCAGTTAGGGAGATTCTCCAATTCCTGCATGCAATCTAATATGCTAATGTTGTTGTTGCTATGTGCCCTCGAGTCATTTGTGACGCATAGCGACCCTATATACAACAGCCCTAAACCGTGCTCTATCCTGTGCCAATCTCATTGCCTCTGACAAACCCATCCCGAGTACCCCAGTC